GCATTTGCTGCCAGCTGGATTTGCCCAACAATAGGCAGTGTATTTCCTTCTGATGTGTCCTAGTAGATGATAAATTTCTTAGAAAAACAATGCAAGCAATGCCTTGGAAATTTTGGCAAAAGCCAGCGGATATTAGAATAGGCAATGACAAATGTTTTACATTCTAAATAAAGGATCCTGTGAATTGGCAGGCAGAAGCCAGCCTCTGAAATTGCAATGGCAATGAGATAATCAAGATCCTTGGAACAGAGTTAGCACACAAAGAATACAAAGACAGGCAAAAGGTTGGCTCATTATTAAAATCTGAGTAACTACTTAATTCCAAGATGGAACATTTTATAGGTAGATTTTGTGCTCTCTTTCATACAGAGCAACAGGCTTTTCCTAAACTCTGGTTTGTTTTTTGGATAAGCCCCAAGTGGCTTAAAACAACACATTAAACTATGAATCAGGGTTTGTTTACAAACCCACAAAACTAAACCAAACCCAAACAGACTACATTGCTATTTAGCACAGTGTAACAGCCTATAATGAGTCTCATCAGGCCTATTTCAAACATTTTCTATCCTTATCAAGGCAAAGTACCATATGAAGCAATATTGGAGGTATGAACCAGAGATTCTTTATGACCTACAGGGACCTGGCTGTTGGTGTTAAACCAATAATGGTGAAGTTAAGATTACCCTTTGCCACAGGCGCTCAAATTCTCACCCCCAGATGAAGCATGATTTAGTCTCAACCCTGTACAATCATAAGTAATACAATAATATGGAGTCCAAGATGTGTTTGAGTTTCAGATCAGAGTCACTTTGCTACACAGGACTGAAATGCAGATTTTTGGACCAATGCCATCTTGAGAGCAGCAAGAGCCCATGAGAGCTACCAGTCTCATTCTCATATCATTCTCAGTTATCAATCAGAGCTATCATTCTCATATTTGCATAGGATGCCCAAGGAGAATGGAGACAATTCTCAGTTATAGAAGAACATGTGGAGATGCTGTTTTAATCATAACAGTGCACCATTCTTGTCCTTGGCCTAGAAATGGACAATAAAATCAAGGGCACTTGGTTTCCAGCCAATAACAAGCTGGAAACATATTTGCTTAAAAAGATTGGCTACCATACCACAAAACAGTTTTCCCAAGACAAGTTAGAAGGCTTGAATTGCAATGTAAAAAAATAACTAGAATAGCATTTTTATACTGTGTGTGTGTGTTGTATGCTGGACTTGAGTTTCCTAAAACGTGTAACAATAAGCTGACAGAAGTAAAATAGTAGTAAAACAAATTGTCTGAAGTATAATAGTTAAAATATGTTGAACTTTATTATGCCCATTATTATAATGTATTAGGGTTATAGACCAGCATATAGAGGGTGGGATATAGTCAATTAATAAGCATAGATGATATATTGGAGTCTTTAAAAATTATAAAAAGCTAAAAGCTATATAACAGATAGTATGCATAAAAACAAGACTCTAAAAAGGAGGGGTAGGACCAGTAGAAGGGTATAGCGAAGTAGATAAGGACTTATAAATATATGAAAAACTTGGGAAAACAACAATATCTTTGTGTGGTACTGAAAAGACAAAAAAGTAAACATCTACACTAGTGAGCCTCACTGGGAAAAGTATTCAAGATCAGTCATTTGCTCCCAATTGTTGCAACCTATTTGTTTCTTCTTTCTTCAAGTGACTCAACCTAAGATTACTAGATTTCCAATGTCATCAGCAAAAAAGAAAACAGTACATTTCCCATGAAGTTGTTGAAGAATGGGAGGCTAATTTTTCGTCTCCTTCTCAACAATTTTACTCAATGGAAAACCAGCAATCTGTTAGCAAATTGCTGGTGAGGGGGGCAGAAACTTGGCTGTTTTTCCTTTTCTGCTAATTACTATGCGAGAGCGTCTGTCTGTTTGTGAGAGGAAGGATAGAGAAGAAAAATGATATTTTGATTGACAAACATGAGAGAATGATCATGTACAGGAGAGGGAGTGGTACTAATGTAGCCCTGAACACTCAGCCCCAAAACCTGAGTAGTTCTAAGGCGTATCGCCCTGTACTATTTTGTGGTTGCAGTTTCCACTGGCTCTACTATCGGTAGTTGGAGGAGCATGATCAGAACCAAAGTTTAACACTTCTATTCTGAAAGGACCCAGTTTGAGAAAGCTAGTTTACTAAGCTTTAGAGCAGGGGTCTTCAAACTTGGCCTTTTATGACTTGTGCACTTCAACTCTCAGAATTCCTTAGCCAACATGGCTGGCTGAGGAATTCTGGGAGTTGAAGTCCACAAGTCATAAAAGGGCCACGTTTGAAGACCCCTTCTTTAGAGCAATAGCATTTAGACTTATATACTGCCCCATAGTGCTTTGCAGCCCTCTCTAAGCAGTTTATAATATCATCTTATTGCCCCCAACAATCTGAGTCCTCATTTTACCCACCACGGAAGGACGGAAGACTGAATCAACCTTGAATCCAGTCAGGATCGAACTCCCTGACAGTGGGCAGAGTTAACCTGCAATACTGCATTCTTACCATGCCCACAACCAGGGTTCTTATATTTACATTAAAATGTGAATACCATTTATTTATGGTCATTGATTGGTCTGTACTAATAGAGACACTTAAAAGAATAAAATCTCTAAAATATTTTTGAAGGGTAACCTATTCAGAATGACAGTTTTTGTCTGCCATGCCAATAATTTAAAGCAACACATTTTGCTACAAGAGGTTTGTGGGAGGGGGAGGTTGGGGGGAATTTATTGATCACATTTCTAGCGTACCCACCTAGAAAATGTCCCTAGGTGGCATCACAAGATTGAAAAGCTGTAAGAAAGAAACAGATTTTAAAATGTTAAATAGCATGTCCCAAAAGATTGTGAATTGAAATTTACATTGTAAACCCCTTTGGGCAGAGACCTGTGTTTTAAGCTACTATAAATCAGTATAAAAGTAAAGTCTGCTTGGTGCTGAGCTTGATGCCCGACAATGTTGTGGGTGTGTCCATGTGGTTACCTGGCAGTAACACAGAAGTGATTTGGCACTGCCTTTTTCTGAGACATCATTTTCAATTTCCCAGTCTAATCCACACCTGTGGCATTTCCATTTCCAGCTACTCTCCCAACCAGGCACTTAGTAGGTGGGATTTTGCTTAGCTTTTTGAGATTGTCCAAGGTCATTTAGGGCTGTTCATATAAATATAATGCCAGTAAATCAAATTTTGGCCCAAGGCTGAATTGATTCTAGGCAAGTATTCCGGGAACTGATGTGCTTTCTCACTTTGGAAATAGTGTGGAGGAGGAGTAAAAAATGACTTCCCTTTAACTTTTTTTGTATATATATACTGTTTTATTGATATTCTAATTTTATATTTAAGTATTTAAAAAGCAACACGGCAGCTAGGTTAATCGAAAATTCAATAGCATAAAAGCATCTTTAGTGCAAGTCTCAAACTACCACATTAAATATTTCCTCCCTTTTCCCCTTAGTATTTACTGTCTCATATTAAACTAATACAATTCTTATTATATGAATTAAATAAAAATAACATTCTTACATTTATCAATAATTTTTAGCTTATATATATGCTGATTATTTTAACATTCAGTCTTTATAGGCAATCAATGTCCTAATTAGGGTTTCCCAATTTTTAGTTTCCCATTAATATTTAAGTTTTAACATTTAATATTTATAATTTCCAAGTTTTAAGTGACCAAAGTTCCCTTTATCACAATTCATCACAAAGTCTAGTATTCAGGATACACATCTTATCTATTTGAATATATTCTATTTCTCACCATCTTCCATCATCTAATTACTAATACAGTGTAACGTTCTTATTTTCTATTAATTTCCAAATGTCTTAAATTTAGTAACCAAAATTTCCCTTGTTTCAACATCAAATACTTCCTCTCTTTTTCTCTTAATGTCTACTATCTCATATTTAAGCTAGTACAATTCTTATTATATCAGCTAAGTAAAAACATGTTTATTACATTTATCAGTAGATTTTTGGCTTATATATATATCTTAATTGCTTACAGTCAACCTTTATAAGCCAATCAATATTCAGATTTAACTTTTGATATTTATACTTCCAAGTTTTAAATGACCAAAGTTTTCTTTATCTCAGTTCATAACAAAATACTAGATTCCCTTTAACTTCTTAACTATGCAGCAGATTTAAAATATTGCTCCTGCAGTCTTTTTGGCTATAACTGCTGCTCCAGTAAATAACCAACATTCGCAATATTTCTTTTCAATTTATTCAGAATGTACAGATTGGCGAGGTTGCAATGAGAACATATTTATCATACTTCAACCAATGACAGTTACATTTCCTCCACAGTGGGGGCGTGCAATTGTTCAATTGCCTTTTTCAGAGCTGTCTTCCTGCAGCAAAGGGTCTTATCTCAGTAGAATAATTCCTGTGCTATCAAGAGGGAGGAAGAGGAGGAAGAGGTTGGTGCTCTGACTCAGATTTCGGGAGATACATACCAACAAACTCCTGTTCAACGAGAGGGAATTTTGCCAGTTTGCATCCGCCGAGATGCTACAAATTCACATCTGTTAGAAGTAAAGTCTTCGTCCTGGTTCATCCAAGCCGGGAATAAATAAGCAAACATGGTGACTGCTTTGGGAAGAAGGTTACAGCTTATTGGAGAAAGATGGTTCTTCAGGAAAGTGCAGAGGAGAGAAGGGCTGAGCACATGGTGTAGTAGGTTTTTATACCCCCTCTAGCCTTTTGTTTGGAATAGTTTCCTGTTCCTGTGGCATGAACCTTGAGGCTGTTTCTGAGTGTTTGTCTAGGCCTTGATATCTGTGGTTTCATATCCTGCTTCCCAGGTGATGGGGCTGACTCCTAGAGTTTGGGTGGGGTATGCAAATCTTCTCTTTTGTCTTCTTGATTGCTCTGGCTCCAACTTTCTGATGGTTTTACATCTGCATTTGTATGGGGCTAAAGTCTTGCTTGGGGCAGAGAGATAGATTTGGGGCCAGGTTTGGTTTTAAAAAGTCCTTTTGAGGAAAAATATATTTTTCTGCCCTTTTTAATATTTCTTTCTCTGGGCTAACTTCCCTCACATCCTTGCAGAAACTCTCCCTCTCTCTCTTTTTGGAAGAAGGGGTGCTCAGTTCTTTGCTCACCGAATTCATAACAATTCAGCTCGTAGAAGTGATTTCCATGTGAATGCATCCCTCCACTTCATCTGAATAGACTCCTCTGTTTAACCAGTTGCTTCTCCAAGAGCAAAGATGGTCGCAGACATTATGCAGACTCTTCAATCTGAAATGAGACAACAGGGGTTTTTTCTTCCCTCTCACAATGGACCAGATCAGTCTGAAGGAACACTTCAGCCTGCTTACAAGGGGCGGATAATTCACTGAACAGCCCATCAATGAGGCCTTCCTGCTTTATAATCCTCAAACTCACTTTGGCCTTCATTTGTCAAAATCATGGCTCAGAAGCGGCTAGAATCAGGCACATGCACTACACATTCTCAACAAATTGTTCAAAAGGTTCTCTGATGTGGAGTCAAATGACACAAAACAACCAAATCAGTGTATTTTTGGGCAGGGGTGGGAGGGTGTCCCAAAAATCAAGTCACAAACATCCTCAAAACCTCATCCTTTTTTTTTTTACTTATTTATATCCCAACTTAATTATTTTTATAAATAATGTAGCTAATTCTCCTTCCTCCTATTTTCTCCAATCCTGTGAGGTGAGTTGGCCTGAGAGAGAGAGAAAAAAAAAAACTGAGCCAAGTTCACCCAGCCTGAGGCAGGACTAGAACTCACCGTCTCCTGGTTTTTAGCCTGATGCCTTAATCACTAGACCAAACTGGCCTTTTTTCTTTTAGTGCATAGTGCATGTATAAAAGGGGAGGGGCTTCAATTCCACAAGAGCAATCAATTGTCCTGATTTTTTTTACCTCCTCCATCCTCCTCCTTGTACATGACTCTGCCCAGTTCTGCAGCTCTCAAAGAGACATTTTTAGGGTGATTTGCTTGAGTGGACTACAGAATTCTCTCAATAATCCTGACGTTTCAAGTTTGAGTCTGCAGCTTACAGCAAATGTTTTGCTCTTCAAAGTTGAAAGGAAACATGAAGCACCCTTCCTGCGTCTGGACTGTGTTTTGGTAATAATACACTCACGCCCGCCCAACAATTAAGCACTGTTTGGATCAGCAAGTCCGTGTCCAAATTAAAATTAAAGATGTAATCATGGAAAGAGCTACTTGTCTCAGAGAGGAGTTATGCTCCCTTTATCTTGGTCATGTACAAACATGGCTGAAAGTTAGCTTCACAACTCTGTCATTAAAGAAGCAAAGTAAGAATCCCAGGGCTTTGCCAAAGCACCTGCAAGAATCCAGTGGATTGTGTGTCATCAACATATGCATGTTGGTGGTAGCATGCTGTGTGTCATCCACCACAAGTTGCTGTAATGTTTAAAAAATATATTTATGATGCTTATTAGTTGCCCAAACAATGGGAAGCTTTCGAAGGATTGATGTGTTGGTTTGCAATCATTTTATAACATATATAACATACACTTTGAGGAGGAAATGAAGAGGGAACAGTAACACCAGCTCCAGATTTTCTTTCAGCATCCATAGCTGGGGGTTTATCACTACCTTTGGGCCATCATATATGAAAATTCATGGGTCATATATGCCTTGTCATTATCTAAAATAAACTCTTTTAGATATAAGAGATAACTGGGACATAAATATGATTACTTTGAGACAAGATTTGTTGATTAAGCCACAATGATTTGGCTCATATGTAACAATAAGCCATACTGAGGGGGTTCCCAAAATATATGAAGCCAACACTAAAAAATCAGAATACCAGCTGGCACAAGGCTTGAAGCCAGAGTGTTACCTTGCTTGTCAGAATACAATGACAGAGCATGTATAACCCATGAAACTATGGTTTCTTTGCCCATGGTTTCTTCAATAAAATACAATTGAACAGGATCACAAGAACTCTGAGCTATAATTCATACTTGACAAACCACCATAAATGGGTGCATTCAGCAATAGGCTGTCCTAAGACTAGGTCTATCGGTTGGGTTGCAAAAATCCAAATGGCCACTACTGCAGGTGGCAGTTAATAATGCAGACTGCATTACTGCCTTTGTTGACAGTTGGTGGTCACTGAGAGTTTTGCAGCCCAGATGGGCAACCATATTATGGCTTATGTGAGCCTGGCCAAGTAATAGACTAGTAGACAATGGCCATCAAAAACTTCAAACAAGTCTGAGTTTCCAAACATGGAGTGACAACATGGATTCCAACACTTTACTTGGTGAACTATATTTGTTCACCAAGTAAACTTGGTAAGCTTGAGGACAATCTCTTCCAAGGTCAATGGACATGTGGTAGACTCACAGATGCTTCCCGAAAAAGTCAACTTACAGCTCAGATTTCTATGCCATTTAGTTTATTGGGCTTCTGTATTGCCCTGTCACTATCTTCTGGATATAAAGCTTGTAACTCTAACCTATTGGTTACTAAGGTGGTAGGTAGAAGATGTTCTGGTCTAGTTAGTATATTAGACACATGATAAAAAGAAGAGGGGTTCTGATTACACAATTGCAGGTCCCATTTTGACTTTACACACAAGTTCTTGTTCAGTCAGGAGTGGATTCTAAATGCTAGATTCTCTAAAGGGGCTTGGATTCAAGGCATTAAAGGCTTTCAAGATAATTACTAGCACACTGTGAAACAAATTGGCAGTCAGTACAATGTTTTTAATACCTGAGTAATTATGTTCAAAACGACTCTGGAGACTGCAGGCAGACTGCCACTTTTTGAAATGCTTGAGTTTGAATTAGCTAAAGTTTCTAGACCACTTATAAAGAGGCTTATGCAGCATGCATGGCTGGACTCAAATTTAGAGCCAGACTATGCCATCAGGCGTACCTATTTAAGGCCCCTTTCTGCTATTTAAATATAGTATGGGGCCTCTTCTTTATCATGGTTAGTGCATTAGCCATTTTAGAAACTGAGTTCACCAAGGTTGCAGATGTAAAACTAATCACCATGGTTAAATGTCTATGGAGATTCTCAGTCATCCAGGTCATGGTGGTCCCAAAGCTGCTTTTTCAGGAGGCAAATGGACTTTCTTGTTTTTCTTTGAAGACATTTTGCTTCTTATCAAGAAGCTTCTTCAACTTTGACTGGTGGTGGGGAATGGAAGGATTTATATTCCTTGCAGACAGCTGGTCATTGCATCCTTTTAGAGAGTCATTGAGGCCACTTGGAGATTTGTCTGTGAAAGAAAGAAGCAAGTCCAGTTGCCACTTGAAAAAGCACCTTAGGGATAACCACCATGGTTAACTTCAAAAAGGAAGGGAAAAGAAAAGTAGATGAAAAATTTGAAAGAAGAAGAAACAAAAAGACTAGGATTTTTACATCTAAAACAAGGTATATACTTGCAAACATAAACAATTATCTTTGGATCTGGTCCAAATACAATAATACTTGGAACAGAGGCAGCAAAATCCATGAGTCTTAAGTTAATTGGTTCAGCATAATAATTAGTGGGAATGATGTCATGAGTCATCCATATTTTCTCATCTTGTTTACATACCATAAGCTCATTCAATAACATCTGCAGTCTAAAGCTGTTCTTCAATAAATTATTTCAACAGCCAGGAATGTAATTCAAAGGTTATTGAAGCTTAAGAGGACCTCCTATTGCCTGCAGGGGACATTGGATTCAATTATAGATCATAAAGTATAGCAATTAAAAAAACCCTTTCCTCTTCACAGTGAACCAAGTGGGAAATCACAAAGCAAAGTGGAGGAAAAACTTTCTAGCTACATAGTGCAATGCAGCTTCTTCCCAGTTTTCTAAAGCATATTTGAAAGTAACCCAGAAAGGAGATTTCCAGATTGTCTCCAGGTTTGCTGAGAAAGTAGGAAGCTGCTACATATCAAATGAGAGTAATGGCTAGGGAATTCTGGGAGTTGAAGTCCACACATTTTAAAGTTGCCAAGTTGGAAAAAACAACAACAGGATCTGGCCAGTACTGCCCACTCTGACTGCCGGTTGAAATCTGGAGAGAATGTGACCATATATGTTTGAAAATGTTATTGTTGTTAGTTGCAAAGTCATGTCCAACCCATCGCGACCCCATGGACAACTTTCCTCCAGGCCTTTCTGTCCTCTACCATCTTCTGGAGTCCATTTAAGCTCACGCCTACTGCTTCAGTGACTCCATCCAGCCACCTCATTCTCTATCATCCCATTCTTCTATTGCCTTCAATCTTTCCAAGCATTAGGCTCTTCTCCAGTGAGTCCTTATATACAGTGCTTTTTTTGAAGAAAAAAAAAAGGTGCCGGAACTCACACATGTCATACAACCTGCCTTGCCTGCCCTACATATATATATATTTTAGGTTGCTAACAAAGAATAAAGAGAAAACTGGTATAGCTATTTCGAGTTCCTTTAACTCTCTTCAGCCAGACTTACTCTTCTGAGATTCGAACCTGGGCTATATGCATGTTAGGCAGTTGTTATAACCTCTAAGCCACAGGCTCTTCTCACTTTGTTGAGAAGAGTTGGCGATTGCTGCTTGTGGATGGCTCTGGATTGAGCTGATACAGGCAAAAGAAAAGAAAAGAAAGAAGATTTCTTTCTCCCATATTTGGGCTGACAGGGTGTACATTCAAGGTTATATATATATATATATATATATATATATATATATATATATATATATAACGGCGATGCTGCTGTTTCAGCTGGCTGTTCTTTCTTGCTGTCATCGTCCTTGTCCATGTTGGTTCCAAGTCTTTTGCTGTCACTCATTGGCGCTGTCTGCCTCCTCTCAATCATTTGTCGTGACCCTAAGTCCATTGAGGAAGGGATATGATCCTCTGTTGACCTGTTTGTATCAGTGAGGATCTGTGGCTGTTTCATCTTTACAGTTTTTTTATTTAAAGATATCTGCCGGCATAATGTCTGATAAGCTGGTAACAGTTCAATATGCCGGATGATGGAATGCTTGTTGGATAGCCATGCCTCTTTTAGCAGAAAGGGCAGCCAACTGCTAAAAGAGGCCTTAGAATAGAATAGAGCTGGAAGGGACCATGGAGGTCTTCTAGTCCAGCCCCCTGATCAAGAAGGAGAACCTATACCATTTCAAGACAAGTGACTGTCTAGTCTTTTCTTAAAAATCCCCAGTGATGGAGCGCCCACGATTTCTGGAGGCAAGCTGTTCCACTGATTAATTGTCATCACTGTCAGGAAGTTTCTCCTTAATTCCAGGTTGCTTCTCTCTTTGGTCAGTTTATTTACTTTGATCAGTTTACTTACTTTCTCTTTATTTGTTCTAGGAGCATCACAAATAACAAGAAGCCAGAAATAGATGCCTATACAATTATAGTGGTTAAAGTGCTGGCCTACAAGCTACAAACCAGGAGATTGTGAGTTCTAGTCCTGCCTCAGGTATGAAAGCTGACGAGGTGACTTTGGGTCTGTCACTCTCAGCCAAACCCACCTCACAAGCTTGTTGTGGTAAGGAAAATATGAAAAGGAAAGAGTATTATGGATGTTCGCAGCCTTGAGTTTCTTATAAGAAATAAAAGTGGGATTAAAAAAAAATCAAATAATAACAATATAGTTCATTAGGTATAAGCATTCCTAATTCCATGCTTGGTGGCCATTTTCATGGTCAGTTTGTTAAACTTGTCATTTTTTTGAGGGACAAGTCAAATAACATTTTCAGGAAGAATTAATTTTTTTTAACTTGCTCTGGAATCATAATTGGATTGAATGTTTCTTAAAATTTGTTATTTGTTATACATTTTAAAAACATTCAGATTTCATTGAAATGCAATAATGTAAAGCATTGGCGGCTTTTAAGACCTGTGAACTTCAGCTCCCAGAATTCACCAGCCAGCCATGCAGGTGAAGTCCACAAGTCTTAAAGTTGCAAGATTAGACACCCCTGGTGTAAACTCAACTGGGATAAGTCCAGACTTAACAGAATGGTCTTTCTAGAAGAAAATAGGAGGCTATTTATTATTTAGATCTAATGCAAACAGAAAGCCACAAGATCCAGTTGTGACGATGAATAGATAGGGAATGAATGAATGAATGAATGAGGGCTTTTATGTTTTTGTCTATGTTATCCTTGTGATTACACCTTTTTTGCACATTTTCATAGAAAAAAACAATCCAAAATTATTTTAAAGAACTAATATTTGATGCAGAAATGAATTAAGGTGGATTGTCCAAATCTAATAAAAAAAATTCAGGAATACAGTTAAAGGTAGTTGGAAATGTGTCTTGTTGATGCTAAAGTGATATTTGAAGTTAATGATTCTTGAGATTAGTATCTTTCCTTATGAAAACTCAAACAAGAATTAGTTCTTTATATTTTAAAACCTTGTTTTTTTTGAAGTTACTAAACTCAGACAACCTTAGTCAATTGCCTTGAAAAAATAATGAGGCACACAGAGTGACATTCGCTCTTTGGTTACTTTCAGCCAATAAGGGCTCTGAGGACCCAACAATTTAAACATGGACAATCAAATGCAAAATGAATATAGTTCATGTAGCATCAACCACTTCCATAGAATATATATGCACAGTAAGTTATCTAAAACCCACACACAACCATGCGATTTAGTGGTGGCTTCCCTGGTGATGATATGGTTCTAACCAGTGGTGGGATTCAAATATGTGAACAACCGGTTCTCTGTATGGATGCCGCTTCCAGAAGTCCATTCTGGAGCCAGGCAACAAAAAATTAGCTGTGGTGTGAACTGACTGAATCCCACCACTGGTTCTAACCATGTTCTGTGGTTGAGAACATGTTCCTCCCATTACCTGACAATAGGGGGCCATTTCCGCAGGGGATCTTATGTTTCCTTTGAGTTTATGTTGTACGTCAGCTCCCCCTGCTGGATAGGAAACAATGTTATGATAAAAATTATTCAAGAAAAGAATAACTTTTTTTTTTAAAAAAAGCACAATGCCTTCAAGGAGGATGAAATTGTTAGATGAATGATTGAAATATTTGTCTGAAAAATAAAGAAATCTCTTTCCCTGATTTCATTATGGAAGAAATAGTATTCAGTCGAAATGTGCGGAAGGTCAGATTGTGGAAAAACAGTGACAGCACACATTATTTTAGCTGGACTTAAACTGATAAGATAGCTTTAAAAGCATTTAGCATTTCACATTCAGGAGGTCAGATGCATAAAGCAAAGTGCACATGTATCCCTTTGGCTTGGATCCTTAAAATAAATAAAATATATGTACTGTATCAAGATTAGTGTGTATACACACACTCACACACACACCTCTGTAAATAATGTACATGGTGTGTCTACAATGTAAGTCATGCCATTGTCTAAGCAATGAAAAATGTATTACTTGTATAAGATTTGCAATATAGACGTTTTTAATATTGGGCTATCAGATTTGCTTTACAAGAACCCAGATAACTTCTGAGTAGCAGCCAAGAGACCATTTCCTGCCATAGTGGTTGCCTGGATTTGTGCAAGACAGATTTGGTAGCCCTTCCAATTAACACTTTCTATTTTCTTCCAATCATAACCCAAAGGCAAATCTCTGTATGTATAGTTGATCTAGTTTCACTGCCTTTCTTTTACAAAAGGTTTACCAAAACCTGTTCAAACTTTAAAGGTATAAATTAGTGATGTGTGTGTCTAGATTTTCCTCTAATTAGCGGAAACAAATTATAGTTTGTTCAATTTTGCTAATGCAGAAGTAATTTCCTTTATATACAGTGATTTAGGTGAATACCTTTGAATCCTAAGCAAGAACAAGATACGGTTCATTAAAATTATTGCCTTGTGTCTAAATAGCACAATGCATGGAAGTACAAAGAATGTAATTATGAAGTAAATACATTGTTAATATTCCATTCTGTTTTTAAATTCACAGTAATGAAATAAGGAAAGATCCCCCAAAGCAGCATTTTAAATCCCTCAATTCTGTAAAACACTAAAATAGACAATCTAGCTTAGGAGCTTCTCTTGAAAGCAATAATTATACTCCATAATACATTTTACAACTGCATACTACTGCATTGTATTAAAAATCCAGGATTTTTCTTCCCATTGAGATTAATTGTCAAGTTGCATAAGGATTAACTGTCAAGTTGCATGAGATTAATTGTCAAGTTGCATGAGATTAATTGTCAGGTTGCACTAATTTATCTTTGGAACTAAAAAAAACCTCTTACTAAAAGACAATCTTGAAAGTCTTTTCAAAAAAAGATCAGGCCTGCTCAAGTTTCAACATTTTTTTAACCACATGGTGAGGCCTTTATCCTTCATTTCATTTCAAGTAAATGCAAAACTTGTTTTTACATTTTAATGTAAATATTTACAGTCCCCTGTGCTTTTGCCAGTATGTTATAATAATTAGTCTTGTATATTTGACTGATCCAATACAATATACTAGAAATTATTGCAAGCAATAGATTAGACATCCAAATATATAATATACACCATATAAACCAAACAAGTTTAACACATTCTTTTTATTTATTTCACTAATTTCAGTGGGATTTACTTTACACATACTTGAAATCTAGTCCCATCAATGTTTCTTGAAAATAAATCCCAGTGGGTTCAGTAAGAAGCCAAGTATTCCTTGACTTACAACCATACATTTAGGGATCATTCGAAGTTATAACAGCACTGAAAAAAAATGACTTATGACCAGTCCTCACATTTGTGACTGTTGCAGCAACTGTCATGTGATCAAAAACTTGGCAACTTGCATATGTTTACCATAGATGCAGCACCCTGATCACCATTTGCAGCTTTTCCAACTGGCTTCTGACAAGCAAAACCAATGGGGGAAACTGGATTTGCTTAACAACGGTGTGATGCCCTTAACAACTGCTATGATTCACTTAACAACCATGGCAAAAATAAGGTTGTAAAATTGGACACATCTCCCTTAATAACCGCCTTGCTTAGCAATGGAAATCTGGTTCTAATTGTGATAATAAGTCGAGGACCACCTTTATACTAATTTAGATTTTATATACATTATAATTTATATATTTATGCATCTACTATCGGTATAGATACATTGATTTCAGTGGAAGGAAGTCTAGCAAATGCTTCATTCTCCCATCTGAAATCAGCAAGATTAAAAGCTAGGCAATTACTAATTTAATCAAACCCATACACTGATGTTATAGTTTAGAATCTCAGATTAATGTTAAATGTCACCTGTTTATGAAAAAAAATGATTTCAGAAGAAGACTGTTTCTTTTGGGTGGTTTCCCCTAAGACATGTTCGAACGAAGCACTTTTACTAACATGACTCAAAGCTGAATTTTCTATAGAGATAATAAAAAGGGAGAGAAAGAAATTGAGTAATTTGATTTAACATGCCTCTTAACTAAAAAAAAATCCTAAAAAGAAATTTTTCACAACCATTATTAAAAACAACAACAACGAATAATTGTGTGAACCCCAACTTTTTTTAAGAATAAAAGCTACATAGACTTTTGAGTGGCAGACTGAAATCTATATGCCAAAAAAATAGAATGGATCTAGGTCTAGGAGATGTATTTAATTTTTGAACACTGAAAAATACATTGAAAAGATTATTCCCAAAATATTTATCGTTTTCTTTCTGATATATTAAACTTAACAACTTAGCAGCAATTTGTGAAATTTATTCTAGGGCAGCACCCAGTGGTTTGTTGTGGGGGGAAGGGCAGATTCATGTGTCCCTAAGACCTTATACTGTAGACTATCCTGATCCCAAACCTGCCAAAAATAAATGTCTCAGTAAATTGCATGTATAAAATGAATGAGATTACATGATTAAATACTTTAATATGTATGCATGGGTTTGTATACCATTGATTGATGTAATCTGCTTAAAATCTTACACTTGATGTAGTGTATAAATTTTATAAATAATAACTACTGTAAATAGAACAACTATGGCAAAAGAAAGCAAAGGTAATACCAACAATAATAGTCACCTTAGGTGCAATCCCAAAACATTTGCAGCAGCACCTGAACACCACCAGCATTGACAAAATCACCATCAGTCAATTGCAAAAGGCAGCTTCACTCAGAACAGCTAAATCCTGCTATGATAACACCACCAAACATCCACATCTGCCTGTCCCAGGACTCGATAGCTGGAGAAATGCCAAATCCAGTCTGAACGTCTGGCTAACTGTGAGACAAATCATAATTAATAATGATAGATACAGTTACAATTGGTTATTCTAGCTGAACCATCAAATAACTGTATATACTGTCAGTCAAATGACATGTGGCAGGATTCCCACAAACGGGAATGTCAGCAAAGGTGAATATAATACTTGCTCCTCAGACTGGCAATGCCATCTCACAAAAACCCTGGTCAAGTATTCAGGAAATTGAAGCTTCCCTCACAGGGATGATGTGCTGAAACTTCACTCTTACTAAGTTCACAATCAAACACTGATTGCCTCTAGGCTTTCAACATTCAGCCTGACTCTCTGTGGGAAGTATATTTTCACAGGTATCTGCAACTTGTCTTCCTTGCAAACAAGACTCTAGGAAGCCTGTGGGGGGTATGTGGTCAGTGAAGGAAGGGGTGCTACTTATGGGCATCTGTGTCAAATGTGAGGAATGTGTGACAGGGAGCTGATGTCATCTGAGTGATGTAAGGAGGATGTGGCTTAACCAGAGTGGTCACAAGGTAAATATTCCAATTGTCTGAATGGGATTAATATTTTTCAAAAGGGAATAATCTATTATTAAAAGAGACACTCCAGACAATTCTAGTAACCAAACAATCTCACTTGAACAGTGAGGACAGAAAAAATAGAAAAGTGTGTGACTTGATAGATTTATACTTTATCAAAAAATATTTATATTTTCTCCAGGTGCTGATTACAAGTTATAAACCATTCCTACCTATAATTTTATTCTCATAAAACCCTGTGAAGAACGGTGGCCTGAGGGTGGCTGGTCATTCAGGAAAAGAAGGACCATGAACTTGGATCCCCTTGGACCAAACGCATGAATGGTGATCATCACATTCAGCCAAATATTGTCTTGAACGAGACTGCCAATATTCACAAATTCACAGCTTATTCACTGTCACACATCTCCTATAATAAACACTGCACTTGACAATATCCCTTTGTCATTTAAACAATGTCCATGGACTTGTAACATTTTAAAATAACAACAACAATCCAAGGAACAATGGGCCGCTTTATTTCAGGGTAATGTTAGAATGTAGAAATATGACCTTCTGCGAGCACATTCAAAACAAAAATAGTCCTTTCGTTTCACAAAAAGAAGCCCTTGTTGCATTGCTATCTACACAGAGATGCTTTGAACATGTTTCTGAACTGCCTTGGTTTGTTGTTTCCACAGACCAATGAATTGTAGTTAATTTTTTTTTTCTGGAGGAAAATTAAGAAAAAACTTGCTCAGAATTCAACATGAATTCAACATGGACTTTATACCAGATAGGGGAAGTTGCTGTCTGCCTTATATTCTGTCTTTTTCCCTGTTTCAAGTCACTGCTAGATAATGGGCTATATACAGGTTGTCTTGGACTTACAACCACAATCAAGCCCTAAATTTCCATTTGCTAAGCAAGGCTGTTGTTAAGTGAGCTTTGCCCCATTTTGTGATCTTTTTGCCACAGTTCTTAAGCGAATCACTGCAGTTGTTAAATGAATCAGGTGGTCATTAAGCGGACTTGGCTTGGTGGAAGCCAGCTGGGAAGGCTACAAATGGTGATCACATGATCTTGAGACACAGCAAGTTGCCTGCCAATTTTGATCACATGTCCTTGGAAATGCTGCAATGGTCGTAAGTATAGTATGAAAACTGGTCGCAAGTCCCTTTTTCAGTGTCATTAGAACTTGGAACAATCATTAAACAAATGATAGTAAATCAAGGACTACAGTATGCCTTAAAACCTCCTCCCTCATGGTGGTTGACAAAAAAAATCTTAAATCGGTAATGACTATTAGGAGGAAAACTGCTTGCTTACTTATTACTACTCCTCTTAAGCAGTATTGGGGATACTGATACTCAAAAGCAGGGATTTGGGAAGCATAAAAGGTAAGATGATAAGTCACGTTGGTTGATGAGGATCTTGAATATTAATGCCAATACATCCAGAGGAATATGGTTAGGGAAAACGGATAGAGTTGCTTGGAAAAAATATTTTTACGAATTTATTTTTCACAAGAAACTGCCTTCTTACTCCTTTCTTCCATAGGAGTAAGCAATACATGCACTTTAATCTCTATGCACTTTAATCTCTAGCAATAGCCTGGTGATTTGCATGGAAAACTAAAACCTTGAAACAATCTGAGAATCTCGGTATTTACCTTGGCTGTGTATCGAACAGGTTTATGGACTAATCAATGGGGTTTTAATCAATGGATATAAATTTCCATCAGTGGGAAATTAAGTTTCAGATGCTTGATCAAAGGTGCCCTGTTCATAAACAGCCAATGCCAATTTTTACTAGATAGCAAATTCCTGTTGCTCAAAATTGCTCCAGTATATAATGTTCATACACAAAAATCTATCTAAATGGACATTAGGAGTTAATACTGATGTGTTGGCACATAATCAATCAACTAATCTTACACACTTAAACACTGATATTTAGTAGCTATTACTCCTCCATTTACTAACTGGAGATTAATTTACTAATTCTTTTTATTCCAAGCATTAAACAGGCAGGTAAAAAGCTGTTCCTATAATTTTCTACTATGACTCTGTTTCATTAAACTTTAGGCAATAAGAATGAGGAATATTAAATTATGTTCTGCTATATGTCTTTCCTTTACCTTTTAGATTGATTGACTGACTGATTGATGCCTTTAGGTCATTGCTGACTTCCAGCAACTGCATGGACTTGTCTCAGCAGTTTTCTTTTTTTGGAAGTGACTTGCCATTGCCTGCTTCATAGAGACAAGAGAAAGTTACTGGCTTAGCATCACCCAGTTGGGACTACAACTCATGATGCTACCCCCTATTTCTAGCCAATTGCTTTACCTACTGCAGGTAGTCCTTGACTTACAACCATCCACTTAATGACCATTTGAAGTTACAATGTCACTGAAAAAAGTGACATGGCCATTTTTCACAGTTATGACTGTTATAGCATCCCCATGGTCATGTGATCAAGCTTCAGGTGCTTGGCAGCTGGCATGTATTGAAGACAGTTCCAATGTCTTGGGGCAGGGGTAGACAACCCTGGCTCTTTTATGACTCGTGGACTTCAACTCCCAGAATTCCTGAGCCAGCATGGCTAGCTCAGGAATTCTGGGAGTTGAGGTCCACAAATCATAAAAGAGCCACGGTTGCCTACCTCAGTCATGAGGGAATCATGTGATCACCATTTGAGACTTTCTGACAAGCAAAGTCAATGGAGAAGCCAGATTTCCTTAAAAACCCTGTTATAAATTAACAAATGCAGTGAGTCACCTAACAACCGTGGCAAGACATGTCCTAAAATGGGGCAAAAATCCTTTCACAACTATCTTGTTCAGTAACAGAAATTTTGGGCTCAATTGTGGCTGTATGTCAAGGACTACCTACCTGTAAACTAAACTCATTCTAAACCTTTATTAACGTAAGCGAATTGCGTTGTCCCTAGGAAACAAAGCGTGCCTTCGGCAATAGCTTTCGTTAAACTTCGAATTTCTTGTGAAGAAACTGATTTTTCTTTCAGGACACTCAAAGTTAGGTCTTCGTTCTTGTTATTGTGCATGGGGCATCTGAGTGAGGAGAATCTGACAAGTGGTGTTGGTGTTCCTCAGCAAAGTGGAGGCTGGAAAAACAAAGCTAGGAATGCATTTCATGTGTGTGGGGCGGGTTAGAAGGAGAGGCAGGGGGAGAGCGTGGGTGAGCCAGACAAAGGAAAGCATTGGAATAAATGCTGGCAAACAGTGATAGGAAGAACATACAAGGTTATAAATCCACCTCCCAGATTGAAGAATATGAATCCCCAAAAGGGGTTGCTGTGTGTCCTACTTCACAGAGGAGCTCTATAATTTGATGGAGTTCTAGGAAAAGATGTCTGTCTGAAGGCCTCTTTTATTGGTAATCGTAGAGCCAAGACCTGGAAGTCCTCAGAATTGAACAGCTCTTTAAAAACAGACTTGAGCAGGCACACCAGCCAGCAAGTCATTGCTTCCTTCTAATCTGCTATACATTGCATATGGAGTGTCTTTCTCCCTAAATTATATTCATTCAAGTTTGCATCGTATCAGAACAGCATGTGCATATTTTATGCAAGACTCTTTTTTTTTGTTCTCATTCTTCTTTTGGAGAAAATCATATACAAAGAGCCTCCCTGAACCCTTCAACTTTTTTGTTTTGAATAAAAGGCATTTTTTATCATTGTTACTAGACAACCCTTGATGCAGTATGTCATTCTTCTTTCCAAGAATATAGGCTTTGGCTGTTTGCTCTCCCCTCGTACCACCCAGGTGAAGTTACCTCCTCCTCCTCCTCAGCTGACCTGTGGAACTGCCTGCCACTCTGCCAGGGAGAGGGGGAACAAAGGGAATGGAAAACTATTATATCCCCAAGGCCCCCCTCCTTCCATGACTGCAAGTACTCCTCCCATCTTCCTTTGTGCCATGCAGTTTACAGGTTTCTGGAATGTGTAATTGGAAGATACACTGAAACGGCCACAACTTTGCCGAATTTCAATCTCATAGGAGTCATGAGTTCTAGATTTTGATTCATTCCGTAAGTTAGCCCATTTGAAATACCTTGATTCAAAAAATGTTGCTCTACAATGCATCACTTTGCCCAGTTGAAGTTAATTACAGGAACAAGAGTTTTAGGAATATATAGATAGATGATTGCATGGAAATTTTTTTCTGATTACTGCCACCTCAAGCTTATCATCATTTATTTCAGGAGACTGAGGGACCGACAGGAAGAGTTTTGGGATCTATAAAGAATTGAAATCCCCTATGGGAGAGGAGGCTGTAGGATCTTGCATTTACAAACAAGATTATAAATTTGTTAAATTTATATGCCCCCGATCCGGTGGTTCAAGGCAACTCAGTAGCTTACAACACAATATTTTTGATGATGTTTTTAAAAGCCCACTTTCTGGCACCTATGGGCTTCAGTCAACCCGGTGGAAAGTCTACCACTGCCAATTAACAAGCTCAGTTCTGTGAACTTCATTACTATAGCTGAGCCTCACTTATTTTGGCCATGTCAAAATAAGGGGAATTCACTGGAGAAAGTAATTATCTTATGAAGAATTAGCGGTAAAGGGAAACCAGTCTGTCAAAGACCATGGTGGATGGACATTATCAAAGCTGATACCAGCCAAAAGCATAGAAAAACTTGAAGATATAGTGCATGCTGGCTGAGGAATTCTGGGAGTTGAAGTCCACAAGTCATAAAAGAGCCACGTTTGAAGACCCCTGATATAGTGAAAGATTGGAAGTTGTGGAGAGACCTGGCCCATGGAATCGCCAAGAGTCAGACTTGACTGAACAGATCACATCATCATCATCAATTACTGTAGTTGATTAGTCCCCTCTGATGAGCATGACTGCTGCCTGAAACTGATAAGACTTGTTACATGCTGAAGGCTTTTGCGTCCTAATTTCTCTAGCACATTCCTGCAACTGAAAAGCCAGTCTTTCTGATGCTAGAAAAAGTAATTTCATACACATGTAGGTCTAGAAACATCTTTTTGTGGGTTTTGTTGTAATTTTTGTTATGGGTGGCAAGGTAGTTAAAACAGTTTAGTGTGCCCTTCTCCCCCAGTTCTCCTTTTCAATTGTCTCTGTCTTCCTTTGCCTGTTCAGATATCTGATAACTTTACCTAAATAAAACTTATACCTGCACAAGAGCTTCTGTAAAAATGTATCCTTTTTCCTATAAGTCTTTCTCCTTCCTCTATCATTCCCCCTCCCCCACCACCACAGGCTAATTTTAGATTGTGTATTGATTGGAGGTACTCATCCCCTTTTTGTATTATTCTACAAAATAAAAATGGCCAACAAAAGTTTTTTGCTTTTTGAACTGAAGGACAAGATGACATTGCCCCTGACCAAATATAACTTCACAAGAAAAGCTGACTGCATTTAATCACCAATACTGTACGATGAACATCTTTTACAAAGTGTAGCTGAGACAGCACAGGACAGTTTGCACGCCTCCCACAGGTTGTAGTTAGCTTTATACTTTAACACAGAGTTTCTCTACCTCAGCAACTTGAAGGATGTGGGAACTTCATCGCCCAGAATTCCCTAGCCAGCCTCCTAGGACAGGGGTAGGCAACCTTGGCTCTTTTATGACTCGTGGACTTCAACTCCCAGAATTCCTGAGCCAACATGGCTCAGCTTGGAAACCTCTCCCTTTCCCCTCAGCATGGCTGGCTCAGGAATTCTGGGAGTTGAAGTCCACGGGTCATAAAAGAGCCAAGGTTGCCTACCCCTCTAGGGAAACCCTGTTTTAACAGATGGGGACGGGGATGGATAGGCAGGCAGTTGCACCTACTGCTCGGACTCTCCTTCTTCTCTCCCAACTGAGATAGTGTCTCCGAGGGGGGACTACACGTAGTCTTCGACATACAACCAAAATTGAGCCCAAAATTTTAGTTGTCAAAGTGAGACATTTGTTAAGTGAGTTTTTGGCCCATTTTACAACCTTTCTTGCCACCGTTAAGTGAATCACTGCAGTTGATAAATTAGTTAAGCCGGTTTTAAAGTGAATCTGGCTTCCCCATTGAACTTTGTTTGTCAGAAGGTCACAAAAGGGGATTGCATGACCTTGCGACACAGCAACGGTCGTAAATATGGACCAGTTGCCAAGCATCTGAATTTTGATTATGTGATCATGGGGATGCTGCAAAGGTAGCAACTGTGAAAAATGATCATGAGTCACTAAATGAACTGTTGTAGGCCGAGGAATACCTGTATAGCAGGGGTCTTCAACCCCCCAGTCCGTGGACCAGTACCGGGCCATAGCATGTCAGCAACCGGGCCGCACAAACAAGGAAAGCCCCATCCGCAGGATGCAGGCAACACACAAAACTACGCCCTCTCCGGTCCGTGGAAAAACCTCTCTCCACGGAACCGGTCCCTGGTGTCCAAAAGGTTGGGGATCTCTGCTGTATAGAATAGGCTGGCTCCCGTATCCTCAAAAACACTGACAGCAGGATACAGAGCAATGGATGCATGTGTAAACAAATAAACTCTCGTAGATGCCTTACTTCAACAACCAACCATATTCCTTCCTGGAGGTAATATTTGCCCTGAAATAAATGCTGCAACTGAGTCCCATCAGTTTTATGCTGCCCTCAGTCAAGATGTAATTGAGAGAATGTAGCTGAACCACTCTGATCACGGATTGTTCGCTTCGCCCGTTTCACATCGCTGATCCAAACGAATCCTTTTTGCTTGCCGCACTGCACCACTCTCTCCATTGCAGTCCCTGCTTAGTATGTGCAAACTGTTCACCGAGCGCATGGATGAAGGCGGGGAAGAGAGAACCTTGCCTTGGGAAAGAAGGTAAGCGTTCGCCTCTGTTTCCAGCTGCCGTCTCTTTCTTCGCTGCTGTTTTTGCATTTTGCTGCTCATTTGCAAGGCGGGGGAAACTTTCAGCTAGCCCGTTTTATGCATGTGTGGTGTAAAAGAGGCAGGGGACCCTTTCTGCTTGTTATACTCTGCAAAACATTGCCTGCCACCCCCTCCAATTGTCCACTTGCATTTTCGCCACCACATGCTGACCTAATATAATATATTGATCAAAGTGGCAGGAGAAAGAGAGGACAGTAAGCAACCAGCTAAGAGTAACTTTTGGAAAGATTTGCCGAACATTTCTAGAGGAAACTTGAACTCTGAGTCCCGATTCCAAGAAACGTGTGGTTCATCTTCAAGCTGTGTATCCAATTCTGACATCCCACGAGTTCCCGGGGAGCTTTGATTCTCACCTCCTCCTTGACACTTATATAAAAGGGATGATGACTGCAAGTGGATCTCTGGGGAGTTATATCCATCTTTGTGAAAGTCTGTTAAGAGTCCTTTAGTTGGGGGAAAAACAAAACAACAACTGTATTTAGTGGTAGAGCTAACAGACTTTGCATACGAGGGCTTCAGCT